CTTTTTTCATAGGCTTTTTTGAGTTTGGGAAAGGACACAGGGGCCCCATGATCCCCTATTGCCCGGGGGCCCCATGAGTTGTCAGTCCGATCCTGGTTGTGATGGTTCCTTCATAGCATTACCTCAATAAATGCTCCTACCAGGGGCGGACTCACCATTTGGAAACTCAGGCACTGCCCGAGGGCCCAGGGTCAGTAGCGGACCCCATGAGATGCTCCTGGTACCTTTTTCATAGGCTTTTTTGAGTTTGGGCAAGGACACAGGGGCCCCATGAGTTGTCAGTCTGCTCCTGGCTCCTACAAGTTCTCTCGAAAAGCTCTATAAGGCGAGCGCACATGCCTCATCAGGTATTGGAACTCTCAGTATCTAAAGCCAGCACTCCCACACTGAGATCTTCCTCGAAGAATAGGATGACTCAGCCAATCAGAATCCACCTAAAACCAAACTAAGCACTTTTGGGTGGAATGGTCTTTTTAAAATGCCCAGAGACAACAAATTTTCTTCCTGATGCCTGGACGGTGGTGGCCTGAAGCACGGTCCATCTGGGTGTCCTGAAGGAGGCCGAGAAGTAGCCGGGGCGTTCTTTGGGTTCTGGCATCTTGGCAGTGGCTGGAGAGAAGTGCTGGCCGGATGGACAGATAAAAGCACAAAGAGAACAACTTAAAACATCCCCTCATTACACAGTCTGAAGCTGATAAGAGCCGCGTCCAGCGCCCTGTTCTCATTACACAGCTTGGGGTATGCAACATAAATTATCCCACAGCAATCTTCCTCTCTCTCCACATTTATTTTCCTTAATGAGCTTTTGGGAAAGTTTTTTTTTTTTTTGTCTTTTTAATTCAGCGTAAAGCGCATTCATATAGGAAGATGTGAAGTCACTGCTAGCCAGTCAGAATGCTGAGAGCAGAAGTCGTTTTGCCGGGCTGGGAACTTCACGAGCCAGTAGAAGAGGCTCAGGAAGGAGACGCCATCGAGGAGCCCCAGCGGGAGATGAGAGCGCAGCTGATTGGGCGTAGGAGGGGACAAAAAGTCACCAAGCGTCAGACTGTAAGTGGGGCCTGTCGGTGAGAATTGATGGAGTGACTGAATTCATTTTCTGCTGTTAACCACTTATACCCCCTTCTTTACCAGGCCAATTTTCAGCTTTCAGCGCTGTCGCACTTTGACAATTGCGCGGTCATGCAACATTGTACCCATATGACATTTTCTATCATTTTTTTCTCACAAATAGAGCTTTCTTTTGGTGGTCTTTAATCGCCACTGGGCACTTTACTTTTTGTGCTATAAACAAAAAAAGTGCAAAACAATTTGAAAAAAAAAAAAAAATTTTTCTTTGTTTCTATTATAACATTTTTCAAACAGGTAATTTTTCTCTCTTCACTGATGTGCGTTGATGAGGCAGCACTGATGGGCACTGATAGGTGGCACTGATGGGCAGATAGCAGCACTAATGAGGTGTCACGGATAGGCGGCACTGATGATGGGTACTGATAGACAGCACTGATAGGTGGCACTGACTGGCATCACTGCTGGGCACTGACTGGCGGCACTGCTAGGCATTGACTGGCGCAACTGCTGGGCACTGACTGGCACAACCGCTGGGCACTGACTGGCGGCACTGACTGGCAGCACTGCATTGATGGGCACTGGTGGGTGGCACAGGTGGGTGGCACTGCTGGGCACAGGTAGGTGGCACTGCTGGGTACAGGTGGGTGCACTGGTGGGTGGCACTGCTGGGCACAGGTGGGCAGTACTGGTGGGTAGCACTGCTGGGCACCGATCATCAGGGCACTAATCATCAGTGCCGATCCCCGCTCTGACAACTACCGGTTCTCGGCAGTACTTTCCTCATGCTCTGACAGCGTGAGGAAAGTGCAGCCAAGAACCAGCAATTGCATTTCCCGGTGATCAGCGTGTCATTGGACACGGCTGATCACGTGGTAAAAGGCTGCTGTGATTGGCCTTTTACCACATCACATGATCAGCTGTAGGACACAGCGATCACGGAGATCGCCGGGGGGCACGCAGGAGAGCGCGTTCTGGGGGGACAAAAAAAATATATACAGTGGCAATCTCTTTTTATCCATATGGTTGTAGATTTCAGATTTCATTGGACTCAATGGAAACTAACTATAATGTTATATATATTATTGGAGTGTACACAGAATGATTTTTGCATGATTCAAGTGTCACCCACATTTGAATCTGAATATATTTTTTGTGCACATTTATATATATTTGTCTGCACTGTTTTAGTATATACTCATATGTTTTAAGGTCTATACATTCATATGATATTTAGAAGGTAATACACTATTATAGTTTAGATTTCTTTTTTCGAGGTATCACGGGGTTTGGAATGTAAAATTGAAAGTTTAACACACTGGATTTAGAGACGTTTGGTGGACTGTTATTTTTTTGATTTGATTTGATTTTGTTTGGATATTACTTTGGACAATTTTTGAATTATTTATTTGATTTGATTTGATTCGGATATTACTTTGGACAATTTGTGAATTATTTATTTTATTTTTGGACATTATTTTAGTTTTGATTATATTTATGTATTTATTTCTTTTTGTATTTTATACATGGGTTTTGAGTATAAGTGAAGGAAAAGGTTCATTATTATTTGCTTTCAAGGGTGAAAGTGTTACTTTTCTTTAGGGGTGATTGTAGTGGGAATTTCACAAATTTTAGGATAGAATTTGCAGAGTGATTATCATTTAATGGAAACTAACTGTCGCTTTTTGAAAACAAGGATACTTATCTGGAAAATATCTGTCACTTATTTGATACTAATCCAGATGTGATTAGGTTTTTTTTTCTGTACAGGTGACAGGACCAGGCTATTTTGCCTAATGATGGTGCAGGGAGGTCCAGGACCTCCTTGATTTTTTTGTCCTGGGGCTTCTAGCCCTTCACCGAAAACCAAAAGAAAACATTTTGTTCCACTTTTATTATTATACAGGATTTATATAGCGCCAACAGTTTGCTCAGCACTTTACAAAATGAAGGCAGACATTACAGTTACAATACAATTTGGTCCAAGAGGAAACAGAGGGCCCTGATCCTGAGAGCTTACAATCTAGGAGGAAGGGTTGAGTGATACAAAAGGTAATAGCTGTGGGGGATGAGCTGATGGAGGAAATAAATGGCAGTTTACTAGGTAGAAGCAGGATTAGCTTCTTTAACCTCTTGCCTACCTGGCACTTTTACCCCCTTCCTGCCTAGGCCAATTTTCAGCTTTCAGCGCTGTCGCACTTTGAATGACAATTGCGCGGTCATGCAATATTGTACCCATATGACATTTTTATCATTTTTTTTTAGACAGATAGAGCTTTCTTTTAGTGGTATTTAATCACCTCTGGGGTTTTTTATTTTTTGCTAAACAAACCAAAAACAACTGAATATTTTGAAAAAAAAGTTTTTTCTTAGTTTCTGTTATAAAATTTTGTAAATAAGTGATTTTTTCTCCTTCACTGATGTGCGCTAAAGAGGCTGCAGTGATGGGCACTGATGAGGAGGCACTGGTAGGTGGCACTGATGGGCATTGACAGGCATCACTGATGGACACTGAAAGGCAGCACTCATATATGTCACTGTTAGGTGGCACTGACTGGCATTGATAGGTGGCACTGAAAGGCAGCTCAGATGGGCACTGATATATGACCTTGATGTGCACTGGTAGGCACTGATATGTGGCATTGATGTGCACTGGTAGGCACGGATATGTGGCATTGATGTGCACCGGTAGGCATGTGGCTTGATGTGCATGTAGCCATATGTGGCATTGATGTGCACCGGTAGGCACTGATATGTGCATTGATGTGCACTGGTAGGCACGGATATGTGGCATTGATGTGCACCAGTAGGCACTGATATGTGCCATTGATATGCACCGGTAGGCACTGATATGTGCCATTGATGTGCACCAGTAGGCACTGATATGTGGCATTGATGTGCACCGGTAGGCACGGATATGTGGCATTGATGTGCACCGGTAGGCACGGATATGTGGCATTGATGTGGCATTGACAGGTGGCACTAATGGGGCTACACTGATCATACATGTCCCCTCCGAGGGGATTACCGGCTCTCCTCTGTCAGCGTGACAGCTCGTGTGGAGAAAAATGCCGATAACCGGCATTTCCCTATTTACATGTGATCAGCTGTGATTGGGCACAGCTGATCACATGACAGTGCCGAAGTCTTCGGCTCTTTCTGTTGATCGGTGATACACTGCTCCCAGGGACACAGTGCACCACCGATCGCCGAGCTGTGTGCCCTGGGGGCACGCATGCGCGGTTAGAGTGGGAGGACGTCATATGATGTCCTCCCAGAATGAGAGAACAGCCGCCCATCCATCATTTCCTTATATGGCAGGCGGGAGGCGGTTAAAGAGAAAGGTTTTCAGGGATCATCTAAAGGTGGATTAGGGGACAGCCAGACAGATTGGGGTAGGGAATTCCATAGGATGGGAGAAGCTCAGGAGAAGTCCTGGAGGCGATCATGGGAGGAGGGTACATGGGAACTAGAAAGCAGAAGGTCTTGGCAGCATCGGAGAGAGCGGTTTGGTTGATATTTTTGAGACCAGGTTGGTGATGTAGCTGGGAGCACAGTTGTGGATGGCTTTCTAAGTTGTTGTTAGTATTTTGAATTTTGTTCATTGGGGCGAGTGGAAGCCAGTGGAGGGATTGGCAGAGAGGGGTAGCAGACACTGAATGGTTGCTAAGGTGGATGAGCCTGGCAGCAGCATTGATAATGGACTGGAGGGGGGATAGCCTGTGTAAAGGTAGGCCAATGAGGAGGGAGTTGCAGTAGTCGAGGCGAGAGATAACCAGGCAGTGAATTAGGAGCTTTATGTTGTCATTGGTTAGAAAAATAAACTAAATCTGTATTTATTGGCTAGCTGTATTCAATAGAAGTTGCTGGAGTCAGTATAGATATTTTATATACAATATGTTGTGTTTTACAGGTTGCTTCCCCCACTAGGTCCCATGGGGCAGCTTCGGGGAAGAAGACTCCTCAGAACAATGCCCGGGAGAGGACCCGGGTCCGTACCCTTCGGGAGGCCTTCCTGACCCTTCAGGCCGCCCTGCCCTCTGTCCCCCCAGACACCAAACTGTCTAAGTTGGACGTCCTGGTCCTGGCCACCAGCTACATAGGCCACCTCACTCAGACGTTGGATCAGGATGGGAACAGTGCTCCATCTGGAAGGGGTCCCGGGTACCTGCATCCTATGAAGGTAACATGGGCCACACAGGGTTTAACATGGAAAACATGTCAATCCACAGTGCCAACTTAATGGGATTTCCGTATGGGTTGAAGATTTTTTTTTTCCAGCTTAGTTATCTCTGGAAACAGGTGCAACCATTTACAAGAAACAGATAACATAAAGTCTTTCTTGTCATTAGAAGTCGTTGGTCACATTCAAGACTTGTTCCTCTTCCTTATAATCTTCTGGTTTCGGGGGAGGCTAATAGAATGGAGGGAGCTGTGACAGGCTCTCATTAAGAGTGCTTGACTATGCCCACCATTTTTTGCCCCCTCCTCCAATCATTGAAGCCATAGCTACAGCTTATATGAATGAAATGGGATTTATGAATGGAGTGGATGGACCTTTAAATTGTCTGCCCATCCTCCATTCATAGATCATGTTTCATTTATCATAGCTGTAGCTATTTCTTCTATGAATGGCAGAGGGTGGTGGGAAAGGTGGACATAGCTGGGTTGGCTCCCTCCATTTTATTAACTCTTGCTGCACCAGTAGATTACAGCAGCACAGGTAGGGCCGGGAGGGGGAGGTGGGGGGGGGGGGGGGGGGTTGGAGGGTGAAGATTGTAAGGAATCCAGAAGCCAGGAATGCAAGGGGCACATCAGATTAATAGTAAGTCATGTCCATTGTGCTGAATTTGTTTTCTCTCATACTTTCTAAACTTAGGCTTTACAGTGTTTCTAAACCCACAACAGTACAATCAGTCTGTATATGCAGTAAAGCATGCTTGTTATACTCACTGTGGAACCTAAGGGGTTAATCCTCTACATTGTGTAAAAAGGCTGTTTGATACTGTCTTCTCTGATCCTCCCCTTCTTCTACTTTTCCTGATAGAACAGAGCCATTGGGACAAGCTGCACATGCTCAGTTTGGTGTGTATTGCTAGAGAGGGTTTTTTGGGGGCTGCCATGCACAGCTGCTCCAGTTTTAGTAAATCAACCCCAATATGTCTTCCACACATAATGCCATTAACCGCTTGCCGCCCTGCCACTGTGTATATACGTGTGCAGGGCGGCAGTGTAGCGCAAAAGCACGTTTTAAAACGGGCTCCGCGCTCCCGACACTTTCGCGGGTAGGGGGCGTGCGCGCGCGCTTCTTCCGACCCGCGGGTGTCACCTTTCGATGCAGGAGGGATCAATCATTAGATTTCAGCCAGTGATGTCTGGCTAAAATCAGATGATCGGTCCCTGTCCTATCCTATCCTGTGTTGACAGTTACACAGGGCAGGATATGATGTCATTCTTCTCTGCCTGGACACATTCCGTTCCAGACAGAGAAGAAGAAACATTTAAAACGTGAGTAAAACACTACACACTGACAGTTAGAACACTCTAGAGGACACATTTAACCCCCTGATCGCCCCCCCCCCCCAGTTAACCCCTTCACTGCCCTGTCACCAGTGTCACTGATCAGTGAAGCGATTTTTACTGATCACTGTATCAGTGTCGCTGGCGACTTCCGATAGTGTTAGCGCCCCTCCCAGATAGCGCCAGATTGCCCGCTAATACACCAGTAGTCCCGTCTAACCCCTTGATCGCCCCCCCCGAGTTGACCTCTTCACTGCCCTGTCACCAGTGTCACTGATCAGTGAACCAATTTTTACTGATCACTGTATCAGTGTAGCTGGCGACTTCCAATAGTGTTAGCGCCCCTCCCAGATAGCGCCAGATTGCCCGCTAATACACCAGTAGTCCCGTCTAACCCCTTGATCGCCCCCCGAGTTGACCCCTTCACTGCCCTGTCACCAGTGTCACTGATCAGTGAACCAATTTTTACTGATCACTGTATCAGTGTTGCTGGCGACTTCCAATAGTGTTAGCGCCCCTCCCAGATAGCGCCAGTTTGCCCGCCAGTACATCAGTAATCCCATTTAACCCCTTGATCGCCCCCCCCCCCCCCCCCCCCCCAGTTAACCCCTTCACTGCCCTGTCACCAGTGTCATTGATTACAGTGAACAGATTTTTACTGATCACTGTATTAGTGTCACTGGTGACTTCCGATAGTTTTAGCACTCCTCCCAGATAGCGCCAGATTGCCCGCTAGTACACAAATAATCACATTTGACCCCTTGATTGCCAGGAACACGCTTACTTGCACGCTAAACCTTCATTGCTAGTATAGTGTCTGATTGGATCAATATCTTTGATCAGATCAGCGCTATACCAGCATTCACATTACTATAGTATCCCCAAAAACGCAGTGTTAGCGGGATCAGCCCCAACACCTGCCAGCACCTGCGTTTAGCCCCTACGCCCCCCCCCCTTCTCCCCCAGCAAGTGCAGTGTCAGTAGATAACTGTCACTTGATACATATTACACACAAAACCGCAGTGTTCACAGAATCAGGCCTGATCTCTGTTAGCACTTGTCGGTAATTTTTTTGTAGCGGTTCAAGCAGGTGATCAAATACCACTAAAACAAAGCTCTATTTGTGTGTGAAAAAAGGACATAAATTTTGTTTGGGTACAGCATTGCATGACCGCGCAATTATCATTTGAATTAGCGCAGCGCTGTATAGCAAAAAAAGGCATAAATTGCAGTATCTATACCATAGTTTGTAGACGCTATAACGTTCACACAAAGCAATCAATAGACACTTATTGGGATTTTTTTTACCAAAAACATGGAGCAGAATACATTTTGGCTTAAATTTATGACTAACTTTGAGTTTACTATATATTTTTTATAGCTGAAAATAGAAAAATATTGGGGTTTTTTTTCAAGATTTTCGTGTTTTTTTTGTTTATAGCGCCAAAAATAAAAAGCGCACAGGTGAACAAATACCACCAAAAGAAAGCTCTATTTGTGTGAAAAAAAAGGACGTAAATTTCGTTTGGGTACAGCATTGCATGACCGCGCAATTATCATTTGAATTAGCGCAGCGCTGTATAGCAAAAAAAGGCATAAATTACAGTATCTATACCATAGTTTGTAGACACTATAACTTTCACACAAAGCAATCAATATACACTTATTGGGATTTTTTTTACCAAAAAAACAAGTAGTAGAATACATTTTGGCTTAAATTTATGACTAACTTTGAGTTTACGATATATTTTTTATAGCTGAAAGTAGAAAATATTGTTTTTTTTTGTTTATAGCGCAGAAAATAAAAAGTAGAAAATATTTTTTTTTCAAAATTTTCGTGATTTTTCGTTTATAGCGCAGAAAATAAAAAGTGCACAGGTGATCAAATACCACCAAAAGAAAGCTCTATTTGTGTGAAAAAAAGGACGTAAATTTCGTTTGGGTGCAGCATTGCATGACCCGCGCAATTATCATTTGAATTAGTGCAGCGCCAAACAGCAAAAAAAGGCCTGGTCATTAAGGGGGGTAAATCCTCTGGAGCTCAAGTGGTTAACACCTCAATCCTGGTGATGTGACATGTTATTCCTCTGACTCGCATGGATGAAGGTGCAAATTGCTGTCACACAGCCAGGATAGGGATGTTAATATGGCATTATATGGGGAAGACATATGGAGGGGGTGGGGGTATTTATTAAAACTGGGAAGTGCAAAATATGGTGCTGCTCTGCATAGAAACCAATCAGCATCCAGGTTTTATTTTCAAAGCTTAATTGAACAAGCTGAAGGTAGAAGCTGATTGGCTACCATGCACAGTGCACCAGTTTTAGTAAATATCCCCCATGGTCACATTTGTTTTTGAACATTCAACATCTGCCATGACACATTCCACAGTGATTGGATTAATATGTGTGTGCAACCTGTGTGGATAGAAATGCTCAGGTGCTCCTTGGATGCTCCTATCGTTCATTAGACCCAAGGAAGTGGTTTGGAGAAGCTATAGAATGTCATCAACATTGCAGAAGAAGTCCAGATGAATGTGACTAACCACTACTAGATATACCATGACCTGGAGAAATGGGAACCTTTACTGACTTATTGTCCTGTAATTGATTCAGTTAATAGCTCAACCAGGAAAAAAAAATAAGTCTTAGTCCGTAGGGTTCAATATTGAGTTGGCCCCGCCCTTTGCAGCTATAACAGCTTCAACTCTTCTGGGAAGGCCGTCCACAAGGTTTAGGAGGGTGTCTATGGGAAGGTTTGACCATTCTTCTAGAAGCACATTTGTGAAGTCAGGCACTGATATCGGGGGAGGAGGCCTGGCTCGCAGTCTCCGCTCTAATTCATCCCAAAGGTGTTCTATGGGGTTGAGGTCAGGACTCTGCGCAGGCCCGTCACGTTCCTCCACCCCAAACTCACTCATCCATGTCTTTCTGGATCTTGCTTTGTGCACTGGTGTGCAGTCATGTTGGAACAGGAAGGGGCCATTCCCAAACTCTTCCCACAAAGTTGGGATCATGAAATCGTGCAAAATGTCTTGGTATGCTGACGCCATAAGAGTTCCCTTCACTGGAACTAGGGGACCAAGCCCAAGCCCTGAAAAAACAACCCCACACCATAATCCCCCCCCCCCCCCCACCAAACTTTACACTTGGCACATTGTAGTCAGGAAAGTACCCTTCTTCTGGCTACCGCCAAACCCAGACACGTCCATCGGATTGCCAGACAGAAAAACGTGATTCATCACTCCAGAGAACACGTCTCCACTGCTCTAGAGTCCAGTGGTGGTGTGCTTTACACTGCTGCATCCAACACTTTGCTTGGTGATGTAAGGCTTGGATGCTGCTGCTCAGCCATGGAAATCCATTCCATGAAGCTCTCTATGCACTTGTGCTAATCTGAAGGCCACATGTAGTTTGGAGGTCTTTAGCTATTGACTCTGCAGACAGTTGGCGACTTCTGCACACTGTGCGTTTCAGCATGCGCTGACCTTGCGCTGTAA